AATTAATCTCTTGCATATGCTGCACGCCACTTGATTTGTGATGCGAAATAATGTACAACCGTGTGTCCATATGATATGTTGTCCGTATTTTCTTTTTATTTATATATGAGAATAATTTTGCGAATGACGATTATATTCATTCAACACGTCATATACCTGAAAATGTAGTGCGAGGCGAACAAGGTTCAAAACGTGACAAACGATGTTCCTTTCGGCACAATTAAGATGTCATAACTCACAAATAAAATTCCCGCCGCCACTGAAATGTGCAAAAAAGTTTTTAAAAATAATGATATTCGTCTCGAACAGACATTATACGTCACGAACAATACCCATTACGTCACGAACGATATAAACCATATAAACTCAATACGAACAATGCTTTTTATCTACGGACGACGCTTTATACGTGACAAACAAGGTTCCATTCGTCTCGAAAAAAGACTTTATAAATGCGTCACGGACAATGCCACTTACGTCACGAAAAACGCTTTATACGTGACAAACAAGGTTCCATTCGTCTCGAAAAAAGACTTTATAAATGCGTCACGGACAATGCCACTTACGTCACGAAAAACGCTTTATACGTGACAAACAAGGTTCCATTCGTCTCGAAAAAAGACTTTATAAATGCGTCACGGACAATGCTACTTACGTCACGAAAAACGCTTTATACGTGACAAACAAGGTTCCATTCGTCTCGAAAAAAGACTTTATAAATGCGTCACGGACAATGCTACTTACGTCACGAAAAACGCTTTATACGTGACAAACAAGGTTCCATTCGTCTCGAAAAAAGACTTTATAAATGCGTCACGGACAATGCCACTTACGTCACGAAAAACGCTTTATACGTGACAAACAAGGTTCCATTCGTCTCGAAAAAAGACTTTATAAATGCGTCACGGACAATGCCACTTACGTCACGAAAAACGCTTTATACGTGACAAACAAGGTTCCATTCGTCTCGAAAAAAGACTTTATAAATGCGTCACGGACAATGCTACTTACGTCACGAAAAACGCTTTATACGTGACAAACAAGGTTCCATTCGTCTCGAAAAAAGACTTTATAAATGCGTCACGGACAATGCTACTTACGTCACGAAAAACGCTTTATACGTGACAAACAAGGTTCCATTCGTCTCGAAAAAAGACTTTATAAATGCGTCACGGACAATGCTACTTACGTCACGAAAAACGCTTTATACGTGACAAACAAGGTTCCATTCGTCTCGAAAAAAGACTTTATAAATGCGTCACGGACAATGCCACTTACGTCACGAAAAACGCTTTATACGTGACAAACAAGGTTCCATTCGTCTCGAAAAAAGACTTTATAAATGCGTCACGGACAATGCCACTTACGTCACGAAAAACGCTTTATACGTGACAAACAAGGTTCCATTCGTCTCGAAAAAAGACTTTATAAATGCGTCACGGACAATGCTACTTACGTCACGAAAAACGCTTTATACGTGACAAACAAGGTTCCATTCGTCTCGAAAAAAGACTTTATAAATGCGTCACGGACAATGCTACTTACGTCACGAAAAACGCTTTATACGTGACAAACAAGGTTCCATTCGTCTCGAAAAAAGACTTTATAAATGCGTCACGGACAATGCCACTTACGTCACGAAAAACGCTTTATACGTGACAAACAAGGTTCCATTCGTCTCGAAAAAAGACTTTATAAATGCGTCACAGAAAATGCTACTTACGTCACGAAAAACGCTTTATACGTGACAAACAAGGTTCCATTCGTCTCGAAAAAAGACTTTATAAATGCGTCACGGAAAATGCTACTAACGTCACTAAAAACGCTTTATACGTGACAAACAAGGTTCCATTCGTCTCGAACAAAGCCTTTATAAATGCGTCACGAACAATGCCCCGGACAAGGTTTAATACGTCAGGTATGAAAAAAGTATTCACTAAGAGTCCAGTAAAACAAAATGCGTCGATAGCCTTAGTGTTTAGTTACCTCAAAAGGTAGGTATTTAGGTATTTCAATTTATAACATTATCCTATCAATGTGAATTGGAATGTTAACAAAAGTAACGGGATATCCGAATAAATGTGTCTAGTAACAAATTAATGTTTTTGTGGGATCTCTTGGAACCATTGAGCCATAAATTCTGCTACTTTTCCGAATGGTTATTTATAAAGGGTGTAATTAACGCTTCGGAGTGTGAATTGGCCAAATGTGGGGGAAAACGGGGTTTCTACACATCCTATCCATAACTTGATATTTGTTTTTGGAAAAAAAGACAATAGATACATGTCAACACAATGATAATATAACAACGGAACCAAGAAGCAAACTAACGAACGCGTCCAGCTTTATATAGCACAAACATACAGAATATTTCTAAATGTGATATCAGTCGTCCGTAAAACTATCAACATATGCTAAGAGTTTTTCAGTAGATTGACAACATCTTGCAAGCCAATCGTGAAAATGGAAACAGGCCCTTAAATAGCGAAGCAGCTGAGACATGTAAACACCATAGGTTGGGAATGTACACCTGTTGCTATCCAGAAATGGAAAATTGAACTCACGCTTTTCATACAGATTAGTGGAAAGTTATCCGTGTTGGTTTCTTTGTAGGACACCTTTTTTATCCGATTGATTATTAGACCTTCAGTCCTTTTGGAGAAGTGTTAGTTTCCTCTCCATTTTATAGCCCAGCACTACCCTTATGACCGAACGTATTAACCAATGCAAAACAGTACTGATCTGATAGTCTGTTGTAATATTCTTGTTATAAAATGAATGTTACCGATGTCACAGATTCCTTGATGAATGTCGACAACACAAAGACAAGACGGCTTTATGATTTATTTCTGGATGTTTTCTTGGTGAGTATAATAAAGGACCGATTTGAGATATGTTTTTATCTAGGTGGATAGAAGGTAGCCCTGCTTTGTTTTATGTTTCTTGTTGTTTCCGGGGTTGTTTCTTTGATGAGTAGAAGACAGGACTGCTTTGTGGTATGTTTGTGGTTGTTTCCGGGGTTGTTTCTTTGTTGAGTAGAAGACATGACTGCTTTGTGGTATGTTTGTGGTTGTTTCCGGGGTTGTTTCTTTGTTGAGTAGAAGACATGACTGCTTTGTGGTATGTTTCTAGTTGTTTCCGGGGTTGTTTCTTTGTTGAGTAGAAGACAGGACTGTTTTGTGGTGTGTTACTGGTTGTTTCCATATTGAGTAGAAGACAGGACTGCTTTGTGGTGTTTCTGGTTGTTTCCGGGATTGTTTCTTTGTTGAGTAGAAGACAGGACTGTTTTGTGGTGTTTCTGGTTGTTTCCGGGGTTGTTTCTTTGTTGAGTAGAAGACAGGACTGTTTTGTGGTGTGTTACTGGTTGTTTCCATATTGAGTAGAAGACAGGACTGCTTTGTGGTGTTTCTGGTTGTTTCCGGGGTTGTTTCTTTGTTGAGTAGAAGACAGGACTGTTTTGTGGTGTGTTACTTGTTATTTTCTTAGTGAGAAGAAGACAGGACTGTTTTGTAGTGTGTTACTTGTTATTTTCTTAGTGAGAAGAAGACAGGACTGCTTTGTGGTGTGTTACTTGTTATTTTCCTAGTGAGAAGAAAGGACTGCTTTGTACTTAATCCTTTAATTGTTCTCTGGCATTTGAATAATAGAAGAGTTTGCTTATATTGTTTAACGTCGTATCAACAACAATGGTCATTAAAGGACGCTGTAGTCAACAAAATCCCTTCGGTACTTCTTGAGAAACAGCGATCACATTATGAAAATGACAAAAGGATTATAGGCGGTAACATTGGACATTGAATCAATGTAGATTGTCAAATGCACGTTGGATCCATTCTGATCATACATATTCAGTAAACTATGTCTACAGTGGAAGTTCCGGAAGTATAACAACCAAACCAATTGTTGGGGAACTGACGGACCGCAGACAATAAGTAATTTGACACGCCCATTGTCTGATGATGTATATATCATGTGGGACATAAAGATACAAACGATACCAACCGTAATTTCCACAAAACGTTTATTATTTTCATAGACGAATAAGCAAAGATTAAAATACTGTAAACCTATATATCATCAGATATCACAGATAACCACACAATATATTTCACAATTTTCAGGTTATATGCTAAGCCTACAAAATTATAAGTTTGTGAACTATGAAACTATTTATTTTAAACAATAGAAAACAATTAATCATATATAACAGTAATAGATAAATCACAGATGAATGTAAAAAATAATGTATTGTAAAAAAGAAGATATTGTCCCTTTAAAGCACGGAGGCACTTGCTAATCCCAAAAAAAGATTAATCATTAGGAATGATACCTAAATTGTTGTAAATCACAGCTGAACATAACAAGAAATGCATTGTAAAATTATGAGATTGTTCCCTTAAAGAAAACATAAATAAAATATAAAAATATATACTGTGGAATAATATTTAGATCGACCTAAATCGTATACAGCTTGACAAATTAGTTGTGAAATGATATAACAATATAAATCTCGTCTCACTTGAAAAAAGTATATTGTAATCAGATTAATGAAAAGATGTTGACCATCACTTTATCATTCATTATACAAACAGAATAATTATATTGGATAACTTTGACATCATCTATTGTATTACCATGAGAAGCATTTCACGTCTGCTGGCAATATATCATATGTTGTACTACAGATTAAACAGCTTACCAGGTTTAATATTAAAACCTCGTCAATCATATCTATGTTATTTCATGATAAAAATAATCATTAGTGTAACAAAACGGTTATGTATATACAAGTCGTATGCAGCTATCATTGATGTAGAAGATGTATGTTCGTATAATGTTAAACATACAGACAGACGTAGCCGGTGTTACGTATTCACGGAACCTGATCTGACTACTGTAAAAATATTTAAATCATAGGTAACAGGTGGTCCATAACCAAAGAAAAATGTTAAGACATGCCATACGAACTAATTTTTTCGTCAAGTTTGTAATAATTTTGTTCATCGCAGGTATGGAGACAGGTACATCATACCTTCATTATGCATGACTGGGCGCCTCCATAGAATTCGGAAGTAGCCTTTTGCTGCTCTACGGCGAGGTGAAGATTTAATTGTTGTAAATTTAGGAGGACGATAAAGCTACAACAAAAGAATTTAAAAACTAATTTATCAGTATACATCGTTTTCTTAGAAATTGTATGCATACTTTTGTTCTTACAATAACTAACAACATCAAATACAACAATATCATATGGCAATGATAGCAGGTAAGTGTCAAGGGAATCTAACGTGTGGAAGTTGAGAAGTTTAAAGCAGTACGTTGTTTCCGCTACTACTTGATAATCAGTTCTATCCATGCAATCGGGGAAAAAAAATCGGAATCATTTTTTTCCTTCATTTCTTTTCTTTACAATATCTCATTTTCCCCTTAACTGTTTTTATCTTTTATCTCGTGTTTAGCTCCGAATGTAGGAATTCATTCTTATGACACTCACAGTAGTCACAGGAACTCAAATTCAACTTCTTATCTCACCAATATTACTAGAAAATATAAGTCACTATAGTGTTGTGCCACTCTGCGGATCGCCTTTCGTTATCGAGCAAGAAGTTAACCAACAAGAGGCTATCATTACACCCCTCCTCCCTACAAGCATTTTCAGCTTCGTGTTTTTACCTTAAGACGAAAACTGAAGAGCAAGGACCTTGATTATCTTATGGTCCTTCCTTCATTGAATTTTGCAGATGTAGAATCTCACCTGAATGACCTTGCGCATCTCATCTTCCCTACGTTTCTCGTTTTGAATACGTCTTTCCTCTTCCCTTTCCCTTTGTCTTTCTTCGTAGCTGCGGTGCGTTTCTCCGTCTTTTCTAAATTCTTCCTGTTTCTTACGTTTCTTCTCTCTTTTTTTTCTATCGCTTTCGTTATCCCTACGGCGTTGTTCTTCTTCTGCTCTCTTTCTTTCGTTTTCCCATCTCTCTTCTTCTGCTCTCTTTCTTTCGTTTTCCCATCTCTCTTCTTCTGCCCTCTTTCTTTCGTTTTCTAATCTCTCTTCTTCTGCCCTCTTTCTTTCGTTTTCCCATCTCTCTTCTTCTGCTCTCTTTCTTTCGTTTTTCTTTTTTTCTTCTTTATCTATTTGTTTTTTCGGTGTCCCTTCTCCTTCTCTGGTGCTTTTTTTGTCAATCTTGTTTAAGAAAAAAAGGAAAATGTCATAAAATAATGCCTCAAAGGTAGCGATGTAAACGTTTCCCCTGCATTATTAATCTTAAATCAAGCTAGTATTTGGTTTATTTTGCAATGCGAATATACTTTTGTCCACTGACTGTTGACTAGAACTTCATAACAAGATCAGAAACTTACTCAATAGTGTAATTTATATTCAATAAGCATGATAACTGGGTTGACAAACATATCCATGACAAGTTATTATTTAACTGATGCGAATTGTGTCTGTCTTATCTGAAAAGTTATTGCTTAAACCTGAACGAAAATGCATTAATTAATGTCTTTATTGAAGGCCATAAGCGAAGATAAAATAACACAAGATAATCAACTGATAATAACGATGTTGTCACATCTTTCACAGCTGTATGATGTACTTTACTTCATCGTTTGGCTCAACACTATCTAACTCTAAATTATTAAAAGGTTCTACTTATTTGTGTGGTAGGTAGTAGACACTGCAGGCGGACTTTAAGTCCACTGGATTTGCCCTAACCTGCATGCCACGTTTTAATTCATTAGAATAGTATCGTGGTTCAGAATAAAAACATGTACTTGACGCTGTTCTAAGTTTATCTAGTATATGAAATTTACGAAATTTATCTAATTATGGGGCTGCTGTCCGCCTCAACCTATCAACCCCTAATCCCTGTTTTGCACCTTTCTGAACTCTTTCTGATGACATATACAACTTTTCTAAGTATCAAAATATATTTCCTAGGGTCAGCTTGGACATGCGAAATTCATGGAAATATCCTTTGCTAAGCGCATGATCGAACTAATGTTTATTAAATCGATCTAGCTAGATCAATATGTATGTTTTACTATGATGAAATGAGACCTACAATATGAGAACATCAGAAGCACCTTTTGTTATTTAATGTTATAGTAATAAACAATATTTGAAAATCTAACTTGGGCTAGATATCCCTCTAATTACTTATCTGGTGTCGTTTACATTCTACTTTTTAATGCCATGACGCCAAGATATCAATAGTGACACAAACATAGGTTGGATGATATTTTGACATATGACATAACGTTTAAACCTATGGAGTTTGCAGGCAAACCATAGTTTTTATATTAGTCCATCTTCTAGATGAAATGCATAATTACCATAATCCCATTGTTAAGACTAATGATGACACTGTCGTCACGGAGAAAACACCTCAGTGGTATACATAGCTCTGATCCAGTAGAAGCAATGTGTTCTGGGCCCGAAAGAGGTGTGATAGGACCGCTGAAATTGTTAAAACCCCATCCTTTTAGATTTGATGCAAATACCATATATCATGTTTTTGTTATAAATCAATGTTTAAGACAAGAATTACTTGGATTGGTCAAGATTTGCATGGCGGATATGATCGATGATGCAGAAGACATTCATCCTAAACACGTGGTCTTGCTCTGCTTGTACTTTTTCAGGAGCCTCCGTGCAAAGCTTTACTTTATACTTTGCCCTAGTGAGTTGTCAACATTGTATTTTCACAAAAATGCAAATAGCATGTGTGCCTTCATAGAACCCTGATATGTTGCAAACATGATTTGACTGTAAACTATGAAAGTCAAATTTTTTCAAAAGTTCACTCAAATATGTCCCTTTTTACCTGAAAACATTACTATTCAACAGGAGAGAGAGGAAACATCTGGTAACTAACATTACATGTTGCAATCAGACTGTAAACTAAATCAGAAGTGAATAGAAGCAGACATCAATATTACGTAGGCTTTCCTCAAAGTCGTTAAAATTAAAATATTAACAAAAGAATGATTGACACGGAGACTCCTGAAAAATATACAAGGTGTTACGAAAGAGTAGGATTCCTTTGCTTCATCGACACACACCATGTAGATCATGAACAATCCAGGTAGTAATGTTACATTTAAAAAAAAGCAAGTTCTTCAACAACGGAACCAACAGGCAAACTCACGAGCATCAAATACATGCAGCACATATCACACAAAGAAATATAATATATCTCGATGAAATCACTATGTCGGGTGTAAAACTGCATATCTTGAAACCCTGTGTTATAGGCTTGTCTGTCAGTTGACGACATCTTGAACAGAAATTGTGATATTGGATACAGGTCCTTAAATATCGAATCAACTGAGACATGTAAACATCAAACTGAAAATGCAAGTTTACTGCTATTCAAAAATGGAAAATTCACAATGTGGAAATTGAAATAACCGTGTTTATCAAACAGCTTGTTGTAAAGCTGCCCATATATTTGTTGTCGGAAAAGATTGAGATAAACGGCTGATGTAGAAATGTAGAAGAGCCTGTCACGTCCTTGATTTCCAAATCTGTATGGAGTATACGAACGACGTGGTCAATAGATATTACGTTCTTAAATTTCAAGACGTCATCAATAAGTCTAAAAGTGAAGGAACTTAACAAGGTCTTTGTCATCTTTTTTTGATAAATTCAGCCTCGTATGAAAAAAAAATACGTCAGCCAACAGAGAGACACAGTTAGTCCCCATAGGTTTGCCAATAGCTTTTTTGAAGATCTTACCACCAAACTCGAGAAAGATATTTACTGGCATGTTAATGTTCTATATGAAAGTGGTTATCACATTTACTGGCAAGTTAATGCTCTCTTTGACAGTTGTTATAAATGTATTGACAATTGGTTAATATACTGTTTTGCAGTTGTTATCACATTTACTGACAGGTTACGATCTTATAAATGACTTTTGATAAAAATGTTTGAAGCTCCTTGATTAATTTTTTTCGTTGAAATTGTTTTCCTGTTTTATATTTCATTCATTTAATTCCGTTTTATTTATGATTCTACTTTTCAATGTTAACTTGTTGAGTAAACATTAAGAGGCACCATAACCGCAGAACAACACGTATCTATAGAAAAGTGGGTCAAATAATACTTACTCAATATGAACACTGCTGGGAGGCTGATCATTGAGTTGGCCACAAGTAAGGAGGAAAAGAGAAAGACAATAGCATGGTACAGCCATCATGTAATTAATAACAGTATCAATCAAGAGTAATAATGAATTACACCGTATAATAATGTTATAAATAGTGACAAGGTGATGAAATTCTGTATCATTATGTACGAACTGACATAGAGGGATAACGTATGCGTGTTACTCTTTGCAACTTTATCCGAATTATCTCTCTTGATAAGCTTCCATTCATCCCATCCTTTATTCTCCAAATGACTTTGCAGATAAACTTTCTTCATCCTATTTTCCATTATCTATTACTTTGCAGATAAACTTTCATTCGTCCTACTTTCCATTATCTATCACTTTGGATGTAAACTTTCAGTACTGAATTTTCTTTATTTTCTGTGTAACTTTTCAGCTAACTGTTTTAATTACATCTGTCTTTGTATTTCTACACTTGATCCTTCTGATATACAACGATATTCTCCGTTTTACTTTTTGCCTATGATCACATTTAAGCTCCGTTTCCTATACCTCCACACTTGACATTGCATATACATATAACCATACATATCCTTTATTTTGTGTGTCACTGTAACTGTCTTGAAATACTTAAGACATGTTTAACGCAAATACTTTGCATAGAAGACATAAGATTTAAATTAATGTCACCAACTCGCGTTGAATGGTAATCAACTTTGTATTAATATTCTCTCATCTAAGATCATATCAAAATCTCATTTTATACTATTTATTACATACCAATGTTGTAACAAAGATATCATTGATCGTAAAAAGATTTTTTTCAGATATTTGATTGAGCTTCTTTGCACCAGATCCATCATTATACAACACTGAATCAGACCAAGGTTACTTCTGAGAAAATATATAATCTGCATAGTTGTTCTTGTCTCTGGATCAGGTACATTTGTACCGTAAACTACATTAATACCAGTTCTTTCTTTGATCTAATTTGTTTAATAATGCAAAATCCATATATATATTTGTATTATATAATTACATTGATGAAAATAATCAATTCAAGAAAATATTTTTCTGCGATGGAAAATGTTCTTGAAATAATGTATTTTATTGTACAAAGACTTACGGATGGTAATGGTGAATTTCCCATAGGAGATGGTGTTACATCTACTGTTTTTTCCGTCGGTACATCTGGTTTGTCTGGAATTGGAGTCCGTGGTGATGATGGCCCTGGTGAGATCCTTTCTGTTACACTTGATCGCTGACAAGCCAACGCACCACATTGCAATTTGTGCATCTCAATTATGGCCTGTAATGCATGGCAATGTTCAAAGTATGTCATCATTTTGTAAGACAACAGTCAAAAATAGTGACATCATTATACAGGACAAAAAAATGAAAATTCCGACACATCTTCTAGTTTTCCTGAACAGGATGTGGTATTTGCTGAATCAATTGTATGAAAAGATACAGATATAAAAACCGTACCTGACAACCATTGTTGGTAGTTGTTTCCGTGTTGTTTCCAGTCTCAGTCTCGTATTGGATTTCTTTGGAGATTCGGCCATCCTCCCCATTTCTGTAAGAACGTGGCATACCTTTGCTAATACCCAATATGTTTCACGCTAGTAATAGGCTGTGATTCAATACAGCTTACACAAATTAAAGCACTGGTGTATGACTAGTCTTCTCCATCCTTGTGATTAGATGGGTAGGGTGACCAAAGTCATGAAATGTTAAAAAAAAACTAATAAAATAATATTATATACGATGTAATCAGGATAGATAAATCAAATTTATGTTCTTTCAATCCATTCAATCTTAATATTATGAAACACACTTTTTTTTCATTTGAAGAAGATAGAAATGAATAACAAAAGAAGAAATTCACCAACCGAAACTTTAAACATTTCTCCATATTTTTCATTTTCCTCCAGAAAGTATATTTGTTTATAGGTGGACATCGCGGTTTCGGGGGATGAACAATCACTAGTTCGACTTGGTCTGATAGGTAACCAACTTCCTTATAAGGCTCGGTTTTTACTCTGATATTAACTTTGATGTGTTCTGCAATTGTGTATAAAACAGTTTCAGCATATTACATAGGAATATATGTACATTATAGACCATCGTTATTCGTAACATATCAATAAATTAATAATTTGTAACAATAAACGTATTAATAAAAATAATGACATTTCAGAACATTTAACTCATAACACTGGCATATTGATTTGTAAATGACATTCCAGACCATTAGGATTCGAAACGCTATATACGAATTAACTATTACTGATACGTCTTTTATAACAGATATCTTTAATTTGTAATAAAACATATATTTTCTCAAACGTTAGAAGTCCATCGATAGAGACTTATGAACATCTAATGCCTAACATGGGCATGTTACCTGCTAAGAAGATCTCGTAAAGAAATCACGTTATCATCGTATATGTATGTAAAGGCATCGGCATCAACTATATTGATATACACCGTTATAAAAAGCAAAATTACCATTGATATTCTTAAGAGTAAAGTGCCTCGCAAGTTTGCCATCAGGTTTTTGGGGTTTTTCGCACACATGTATGTGTTTCTTTGATCTGTTTTGTATGAGCAGCTCGACTACATCTATATATTCAGCGCTGAGTTCGTCTTTAAGTCGCCATTCAAATTCCAGCTGCAATAAAAAAAACAGTTGGAAGTCTGACAAATAGAATGAGATATTTTTCAACAATGTACGTAACGAAATTCTAAAGAACGACGATAGGGATTTTCTTAATGTCATCTAATCAATGTGATAGTTTCTAAACCTGATATCCAGTATAAGCTGCACTCAATTAGTCGCTGATGAGAGAAACAATTTGGTTCAATGTTGTTCAGTGCTACATATTGGTTCAATGTTGTTCAGTGATGCATCTTGGTTCAATGTTGTTCAGTGCTGCATCTTGGTTCAATTTTGTTCAGTGCAACATATTGGTTCAATGTTGTTCAGTGCTACATATTGGTTCAATGTTGTTCAGTGTAACACATTGGTTCAATGTTGTTAAGTGATGCATGTTGATTCAATATTGTTCAGTGCAACATATTGGTTCAATGTTGTTCAGTGTTATATATTGGTTCAATGTTGTTCAGTGATGCATCTTGGTTCAATGTTGTTCAGTGCTACACCTGTGTCCATAACTGTTTATTTATTCATTTTTGTTGTACAGCTGTGTTCATTACTGTCCTTTGCTAAATCTGTATTCATATGAACTCGTACTATATATAGCTACATAAAACCTTCGATTAACTCTTATGGAATGTAAAAAAAAATAAAAAAGGTTGTTATACATTTCTTGTAGTCTAAAAAGTTATCTTGTTTTCAATATATTTCTTAATATATATTTAGCTCGTAGACTCAAACATTCTGAAGGATGTTAGCACAAAATAAATTTGAAAAACAAGCTTAAAAAAGCAGGAGAATAGTGTATATTACCTCTTCATCATGATAATTGTCGGTCACTAGGAGCTCTAACGGAGTTGGAGCCGGCGTGTAGTGCAACAATTGAGATGCCGTCCGTTCTATCGTATCCGAATGCAAGATTTTTTGGAAATGGTCAACGACAACGATCCTGAAATCATTGACGTATACCTTCAATGTTTTGAACGGAAAAAATGCACAAGTTATGTTGTCGCGCTGTTAACTGATAAAGCACTAGAATCGGAATCAATAAGTTCCAAGGAGATCCAAAATTTAAAAGGGAGTATTTTTTACCATCACGTGAACATAATTATTCAGTATCACGTGATTTCGTGACGATCTGTACCTATGGCATGGTATCACGTGATTTCGTGACGATCTGTACCTATTGCATGGTATCACGTGATTTCGTGACGATCTGTACCTATTGTATGGTATCACGTGATTTCGTGACGATATTTTCCTATTGTATGGTGTCACGTAACTATATTACCTTTCACATGAGTCTGTTTTGAGCGTTTCCAGAATTATATATTCATAAATACAGCAATTTACCTAGAAAATATATCAAGGTAAGTGTTCCTTTATTAGAAAATTTCATAAACGAAGTTAATTCAATGATAGATGAAAATTCTTGCAAGCAAATATGAACTACAGAGACAAGGATAACAAAACAAACTTGATAACTTAAAGTTAAAAAATCCAAATCGTAAATAAAAATCCTTCGATGATATGATTACGTGCTTGTTTATTTCTCCTCTGAACAATGATAATTAACAATAAAACTTTAAATAAATAGGTTGTCAACGGAAACTTAAGGTGAAGCTATCTGTGACTGAAATCATGTAACGTCGGTATATATCACCTCTGATACACAACCACCCTTATCTTTATTGATATCCATCAGAATAGGAAATAGCTTTCTGCTTTTCTACGGAGCGTAGAAAAACATCAGGAACCGCATGAGTGCGTTTACTTATTTTATTTATGACATATCGTGGTTATGACACCTTATTAGATATATGAAATCAATGGACCATGTTACTAATATATAATATATCATGACACATATTGTAAACGTTCTTAATTTGACGACATGAAATTGTAGCGCCATATCATTGTTTTATTGTGAACAATTTTAAGCTATTTTAGAAAAGTTATTTTATAAAGTAATTTAGTTTGAAATACGAATGTATTCCTCGTTAGAAATATGTACACTGACCTCTATCTGTTACTAAGTATAAAAGAACGCCCTTCCATGAGTATCATTGTCACTACCCATACATATCCCAGTAGGTATACACTTATAAAACTACACTGATATAAGAGAACTGGACTGGATCATATTACTACAAACACAAAACTACACAGAATCATTACCCTTCACATAATTGAATCAGCAATTAATTGCTGCTATACAAACAAAATTCAGAAACTGCAATCATATTTTAGCGCAATAGTTTTTGTGTGAAAAGTGCCAATACAAGATTACCGCAAAGATACAGCATGCCTTTACCAAGTACGATATTGCATGAGAGTATTACCTATAGTTCACACATGGCAACAAGCAGTCGATCCTTTGTTGATCCTGGTTGTCTGCGCGGTTGTGCTTCCAAAAGCATTGTCGGACATCCACATTCTCGTCGTTCTCCACAATTTTGCTGTCACACCTGATACCAAAAGATAAAAAGGAATCAACAATACACGGTTGATAATAAGACCAGTGTAATCAATATACAGACATTATTTCTGTCATAATTTAACAAAATATTTACCTACGTATTCTCAGGAAACTTACAAGATACATACATGCACATACATAGAAAGCAAGGATACAAGACACGTGTATTGATCTACACAAAAAAGTTGTTAAGATGCATTTAAACAGGAATGCTGCAAGACAGTTGCATACATACACATGGGAAAACAACAATATAATTCAATATCCGTAACTGAAAGCTACAAGATACTTATATATATGAGTAAATGGAAAAACGAGAGTTTTACTTATTTGTATATGACAAAATGAATGACAACATCATATACACTAAACAATATATCGATAATAAAAACATGGAACTGAAGAAGTATTTTCAACAAAACCTTGTCTCTTCTTATCTGACAAGCACAAATTCCTAGTTTTCATGTTTTATCCGTGTATAATTTTCTATCAAGTTGAATTAAGAACGTCACAAAAAGATCAGGTGAAGGTCTTAAAATTTGACTTTGATCATGACCTTTGACAGAACGACATTAACAAATAAGCTGATGGCTTTCAATACTACACAAATGACACACAAATGAATATGGCACTCTTGAATTTATATTTAAAATTGCAGCGGAGTCAGCTATTAAATTTATCGAACTTCTTCATGCAGTTGTTTCGTTCTTTCAATTTTGAAACCAAAAAGGCGAATGAAGAAAAATAATATAGATAAAACGAAATGTGAAAATATAGATCGGAAGGCGTACTAGCCCCATGATTAAATAAATTTCGTTATTTTCATAAATTTTGTAATTTGTTTATATGTTTATTCTGAACCATGCTACTATACGAAGTGATTAAAGCGCTTTCACCAGAAGTGTATAACAAAGTTCTGCGACTATGTGTGATATAAAAAAAATGGTTAAAAAAATATTACTCAAGCAAAAATCACTTAAAATGAACTGTTATGAGCTTAGACCCTGAGATGATGGTCACAGTGGCTTAATCTAGTGCACTTCACACCGTCTATTGGTCAGTTTCATCGCAGTTCATCTAGCGATTCAAAATTATGGCACGGAAAAAAGTATGTTCTCAAACACTTTATTTAGCCTCTGACCTTGAGGTTAAGGTCACAACGACGCATTTTCAGTACACTGCAAACCGTTTTGTCTGTTTCATA